CCTTATAAATATACATTTACATCACCACAATGATCTCTTACTCTCAATTTCAGAACACGACAACATCAAGGCGTTTATATCTCACGCTGGAATCCTGAGCACTATCGAGGCCATTGACGCAGGAGTACCAGTGGTAGCTATACCATTGTTCGGAGACCAGTACGGCAATGCAGCAGCCTTACAAGATGCAGGAATGGCCACCATCGTGCACTACCAAGATCTCAAGAAAGAATACCTCTTAGATGCTATAAATGAAGTTTTGGACCCTGTGTAAGTGTTAAACATTCATTATCAGCCTATAAGTGCCCACTGTTGAGCTAAGACCTATTTTCACACGGATAAGGTTTGAGTATTAATCGTCACGCTTGCTCAAGGCGGATTGGAGATTTCAAACTTATAGTTATAATTTATAAGTCCGGGTTTCCTTACGAAGTTTTTCATCGTCGTAGGTTTGTGGTATCTAAATGAACTTAAAAGGTACACATAATGACCCTCAAACATTTATTGGTACTTGCTACGTTTCTCGTGCCTGAAAAGCGGGCAGGCGGGCACCTTAACCTTCGAGCTACCACAAATTGATATATATTATACACATATATTTAATTCATACGTTGTGTTATGAAATTAGTTCCCAGGACCTGACAACAGGTTTGTCTCTTACATCATAATCAGACTACGATCAGGGGTCATTGCTGGTCTATAAGTCTCTTCTACGTAAGAAGAATTTGCCATAATTTCCGTCGTAGGCAGGCGGGATGGATATCGTAGTTTATAAGGATCAGATCTACCAGAAAGCGTTGTTGCTTGAAACTTAGTAAATATAGTTGGATAGAAGTATGTATGTTAAATGGATTTTGATGAATAGGTTAAAGTGTATATTAAAATGCCGCTGGCAGAAATAACAAGATATATCATCCCTTAGTCGACTCTAGCGCCATCTGCCCAAAGAGCAAGGGGTAGAGGTAAATGTTTCTCACTCATTATCATAAACAATATTTCTCTTATTACATGGGAGTTATAAAATTAGCGTTCATAGTTGGCGGGTTATGAGTACATCTACCTACCTCTCACGGACATAAGAAGCATCTTGCATGACCGTCATGGTGTGTTGGTTACGCAAATAGACCTAACAATCATTGTTGCAAATAATCATACAAAAGTTATCTAAAACAAATGCCATAAGTGCAAATTTGGAGAAATATTAGTATTGTCTAGGTACAGTTTTAACAGGTGAAGTTTCAGAAGGGAAGGATCCTATGCAACAAAGCTGATTTATATAAGTCATTTTTAAATCAAGTTGAGAGATTTGAGACATACGATAAAAACATACAACAAATCAATCGATTTCAACGTTGGGCTATGTGTAAAATTATCTAACATTTCAGCACAATTTAGCCTGCCATAGCCTTGAAAAAAGTGTGTTTGTTTATATTGGCGACCAAACTTCCTGTTAAGATTTCATAATCTTTTAAATATGATAAGTCCAACTTTCTTGACTACTTTAGACAGAAGTGTGTTTCTTAACCAATTACTTTGGCTGACGTTGTTTAGCAATATGAGTGAAGTTACTGGTAGACTAATTCTCAACCTCCCCCATCCATTTTGGGATAACTCTTCTGCTTCTGCTGCGGGTTTATGGGACTGTCTGCTTGTTAGCCATCTTAATCATTAAAAGGCCTGAAAAAACTAAACATTTCGAAAGGAATAGGGTCGCAGATAGAAGGGCCACAGGAGTTACGAGTGCGTTGCCAGCCTTTTGCGGATAAGGATTCCGAAAATTCAGGGTTTGATCGAATTCTTTCGACGCTGTGTTCTGTGAGGTCGTGGTATCATCCCCGTCGAGCTGAATCATTCATCATCTTAGGAAACTGTGCCTCAACCAAGTCTGTTGTATTCGTTAAGCTTTGTAAAATAACACAATGTAAAACAGCTAACCATAAAGTACGAAGCATCGTCAACAAGTTTCTTGATCTAATCTTTTTTTTTTATTCTACTTGGCTTGACGACTACTTAGTGTCAAATAGTGTCCAATATTATAGTCCTCGAATATCAACTATACGTGTCGAACTTGACCCAGTTTGATCAACTTTCAATTATGTAATGTTATCTAAACAATGTCGGTTAGTTCACGTTGCCATGTATCTAGTTTCAGATATTCTACATTACAAGTTTCTATGAACTATTTAGCCCGTAGTGCCAAGTTTGCTTTGCCTAGAATCGAGGCTCACGGATGACGGGATAAAATACAATAATCTAACGTCCATTTCAACGAAAAGGTTAATAGTAACGAATGTAGTCCGAAGTAGTTGCATAAAATTTTTGACATTCTGTATTTTTAAAAGCTATTTTCACAGAATGAAATGTTACGAGTCTGAAGCAGGAAAAAGGAATCTTTTTTCGTACACAGAATTTCCATGATAAAAAAATGAAAACGTGTTTTAATTACTCGTACTCGGAATAGATTCATATTATGTTTCAGCTAGCGTTGAAAGAACCAACTAATAAGTTTTGACGGAGGACGGTTTTGGTTTTGGCGGAGTGTGCAGAGTGTCCAACCAAGAGTGTAGCGGATAAAGGCTGATTAACTCTTGGATCTGCAGTGGACTGTCTGCAATAGAGTGTTGATGTTGATATTTTCCTGGAAATATAACCAAAGCCTATTTTGTTCATGTGATAGGGTGGCCATCGAGCAGAATAATCACCATTAAGTAAGCAATCAACGTTGCCCATTGATACATGAGTTATAAGTGCGTTTCCAAGATTTCGTGGGAGTAAGGGATTTGCGATTAGCGATTTTGATATTGGGGACAGGATATGAAAGGATCGAGCCTCCCATTACCTGGCATGACGAAACACATCGCATTATTTCAGCTGCCGGTTTTCTATAAGGCCGTGGTATGATTCTGGTTGAGCCACCCCATTCCTGTCGAAGCATGACTCTCCTGCACTTCTCTCTTTATAAATCCGTTTGTACACTCTCAACCAATGAGGCGATGAAAACAACGTAAGAATAATTATTTGCGGCAAATCTTAATTTCTTACAACTGAAGCAACACCTGTACAGCCCATACATGCTCTGCAATAAACTACTTTCTGGCTATATGCATAAGACGCATAATTGTATAAACCTTTATCGGGCAGAGTTCCAAATTCTCTTCGATAGTATTTCAATAAAAACAAAATAATCTAACGTTGACCTCGTGATTAAAATAAAGAGCATTCAGGATATTGCTAGATTGTCAAAAATTACCGCCTTACTAAGATCACCGCCAGATAAAGACAGTAAAAGGTTAAAATGTTACTTTATCATATTCATATTAAGTTATATATAGAGGACACAGATATGATTTGCAACTTATAATACGTAATATGTATATTGAGTCATGAGTTAAGATCTTAAATACTTTTGCTTCTTTATAAAATATATTTTTAAATTACCTTACTATTTTAAGTTGTTATTGTTTTTTATTTATAATAATGGTCTTTCGAACATAACACTCTTCTGCCTCCTAATTCCATAGCAAAATATTCTACAAGTAAATTCAAAAACTCCCCTACTCTGCATTCACAACAACAATGCCATAAATGACTCAACTATCATCATATACCAAAACATTAACATCGGTAAACTATAATAAATCCTCGTATCTGTAGATCCTTGAATCGAAATAAAAATATTGACCTAAATAAGTAATTTATCTTATCATTCGATTACAGATGGCAACGGCGTGCTAAACTTGTTTCAAGATTATGGCATGACCGTCCTATGTCACCTATGGAGTCGGCGATATACTGGACGGAGTATGTGGCGAGGTACCAGGGAGCTCCGAATCTTCAACCCGAAGTCCCGAAAGCACCTTTCTACCAACAACTTCAACTTGATGTCCTCGCCTTCATTGGACTAGTCCTTTACATCCTAAGTTACGTAGTTCGCAAAATTTTGTCAGCAATCTGCTGCTGTTGCTGCCAAAATCAACCTCAGGCAGAGTTCGTTGAAGAAACAAGGTCGTCAAAAAGAGTGAAGTTCGAATAATTCTAATGAATACTCCTAGTTCTTAATGTGACTTAATTTGCATAGTGTGAATGTTCAAGTACAATTTTTTGGATTTTATATGTATTATATGGACGGTGTTTAGGTTTAATTATATTTACTTTATTTATTATTTGTTAATAAAAAAATATGCGGAATGCTATTGTAATTTATTTTAAAGTAAGTAACTAGCTTGTGCTATTTGTATTTTAGTGGAAAGTCTGCGACCGTGATTAAATTTAACATACAAACAAAATGTAAAGAACATAAGCAATAAAAGCAACATTAATCTTAACTTTGTAGACAATTTAAGGAACGCAATAACATTGTATGTCGCTTTAATTTAGACTTTTACTGACTGAAGACTTCAACTCCTACAACGACAATAATACTGACCAGAACTATAATACACTTAAAAGGTATTTAAAAAAAATACGATCACATCTGTCGCAATTAACATATCCATCAAAAGTGGACGTAACTGTAAGCTCTTTTCCTTCGTTCGCACAAATGAATGGGACAACAACTTGGTACGATCGGAGACAAGTCAGACAAGGATGTCTTTATATGCTTTCCGACGTGGTCAGTGCCGGTACTTTCAGACTAAATAAAATAATTCCTTCAAGAAGTTTCTTGATTAGCCCTGTGGTTACTTGTAGAGCTCTACAAAACTGATCTGGGAGGCAATCTTGTTATTTATACAACTCTTTTTATTGACAAATGCAGTCTATTTATTGCTATATATGTAGAAGTCAAATGAAGGCAACGTGTTCTCAAGAACATATAAATATATAAATCAATCAAACACGTAATACTATACACACGATTACTAAAGCTAATACCCGATACATTTCAATAGCGAATATTATATGTATTGCATGTCAATTAGCATCGTATTGCAAAATGTATCCTTATCTCCACATCTATCTAAACTTGATAAAATCTATCCGTCTCAAGTGTATTCCGGTGTCTTTTTCGATATATTGTAACTAATTTTCATACTGGTTTTATTGATAAACTATCCACCTACCTAGAAACGTTAATCGCGTTTTAATATGCACGTGTTTATTGAACAAGTATTAAAAACTCCGATACAAATAGAGCGGGAGTCTTATCTATATAAAAACGGACTGCCACTAGTTGATGCTTCAGTAGACTGAACGTGCGGGCATCAATGAACACACTAACGTAGCACTTACCCATTAATAATAAAATGAAGTTTAATTCTATTATAGTCCTGTTCAGTGCTCTCTTCAGTGAAGTGCTAAGTCTAAATATTTTAGGAGTGTTCCCGTACCAAGGCAAGAGCCACTTTTTCGTTTTCGCACCATATCTAAAGGAAATAGCAAGAAGAGGCCACAACTTAACAGTGATATCATATTTCCCTTTAAAAGAACCAGTCGACAACTACCATGACATAAGTTTGGCTGGTAAAACGAAAATATTAGAAGATGTTTTCCCTATATACCGATCGTACTGGTCTATAATACAGATAAGTTTTTTCTTGACAAATTCTGGACAGGAAAACTGTATCACGCTGCTAGAAGATGAGAACGTACAGAATCTGTGGAAGACGAAACAGAAGTTTGATTTAGTGCTTGTGGAACTGTTTAATAGTGACTGTGCTCTGGGATTGGCTCACAAACTTGGTGCCCCAGTCGTTGGTCTCACATCACATGTATTGATGCCATGGCACTATGAAGACTACGGGATACACTACAACCCCTCCTACGTACCGGTGCTATTTTTAGAAGGCGGAACGAAGCCAACCTTATACCAAAGAATTGAAAGGAGTATTTTCCACTTGTACTTTGTATATTTACACAAATTGACGTGCCGGAGAAACAATCAAAAAACTTTAGCGCAATATTTTGATGATGTACCGCCTCTTGACGACTTAGCAAAGAATGTTAACATGTTGCTTTTGTACACTAATTACGTTTTATCTGGACCTGGACTCTACCCGCCAAATGTACGGGAAGTCGGAGGGTATCACGTCACAAAACCCAAAGAATTACCTCAGGTAAGTGTTCAGTATAGTCGCTTTAATTATTCCGCAAGTAGGCATAAAAAATCTACCAAATTACCTGATAAGGTTAGGGAAAAAGGAAAAATTTCATTATAATTGTTTGTATATCAGTTTCGTAATCAGCACGCTAATTCAATTTTAAAAACAAGTATTTATTTTATAGCTTTGTGCAGTCAGACTAACCTCCTCGACATTCCATCTCCTGTTCTGAGTCAGGCTGAGGTATTTAATTGCGCTAGCACCCGAACCCCGACTATACTGATACCACAAAATATCTAAACAACCAAGTCAAAATAACCGACTCCAATATATCTATCGGTAAATTAATATAAAGGACACAATAAATATAATGATGTACATATGCATTATGTAATTATATTTACGTAAGTCATAAGTTATAGTGCAGTGCCAGTCATCATTATCAAACTCATTCATTACATGAGCAACCGTACGTAAACAGACTACAGTCTTGTCAGCATATCATCCGGGATTGATAGCCATCCTTATCTACAGCAAACATATACTTACCAATTAACCTAGGTATATGATTGGAAGAGAATCACATCTTCCACTTATCCCTTTGATAAATTTGATTATTAAGTACTTATTTTCCTGCAATATCTGACTTTTAGAGTAAATAAGAGAATTTATTTGCAATTCTCTAACGCATTGAGTATTAATGATATATTATCACAAGCCGAAATTGTTTCATTTACTTAGCGTTTGTCTGTAATATCACCCTGGAAAGGCTATCTCACAAAAAAAAACTAAGTCGGTTACACCATATCCGATTAACTGTGGAAAATCGAGAAGATATTTCAAATAAACAATGAACCTAATTATATTTTTAATTACTTATTGATTTATGATCTGTTTAATATTTTTTTAACCGTCCTTTATATTAGCCATATTGCCATTTTTCAACTTTATGTGCTGGTTTTTGTTTACTTATTTATTGATTAGCTCGTGACATCAGGGACACCCAGATGACACAATTAATAGGTACTGGTTGACGGGAAAGAGTAATTTTTTGAAGCATTTTCGTGATGTGACAGTCCATGTAGCAAGCTAGCTAATGAATGTGCTGCAGAATCGCGAATAAAAACCGCGATGTTTGCTGTACAGACGATCTTTTACGGGTACCTACTGGTCGTCATTAGCGTTCAAAAAAGTACCTCTATTCCTATAATTTTAGACACAATACTGCTATATACATAAAGCTAAGACCTTATTTTAAATATTAACTTAATTTTATGTAATTATCAGCTATAGGTGAGATAAATGTATAGATAACACAAAGTAAAATATTGCAGGATCTAAAGAAATTCATTGAAGAATCTGAGCATGGCGTCATTTATATAAGTTTTGGATCAATGTTACGAGCTACCTCGACTCCCAGAGATAAATTGGAAGCCATCATCGACGCAGTATCAGAAATACCTCAGAGAATAATTTGGAAGTGGGAGGAAAAGACTTTACCGGGAAACCCGAAGAATATTTTCATATCGAACTGGTTACCGCAGAACGAAATTTTAGGTATGATATCAAAAGTAATATTGATGCATGATTTGCAAAATATGTATGATGATAAGTTCTTGTTTTGCCACACTATAAACATTGCACCCGATATTATCACGACATGATTGTAATAAATAAATATGTCATGATAAATTAAAATTGAGTACACTTCTCCTCGTTTATGATAGTTTATTAAGATTATTTTTATCTAAATTTTTAAGAACCTGCTATGCACTGTATTTCTTCCAAAACACTACACGTAATACTCCTCTCCGAAACACGTTCTTTCGCTGTTTTTTGTTTATTATTTTTTTACGTCAGTTCTGAGACCAAACAAAAAAGTTTCAATTTTTGTTTTACGTACTCAAACCTTTTTTATATTGTCTATGTCTACATCTGTCCTCTACAACCCACTAAGTGTGGTGTCACATTCTAACTTAGAACCTTTGCTAAACATCTCTGGCCAAGTTCTAAATAAAAACAGACGCAAGTCTTTTCGATTTCCCCTCAGGATAAATTGTAATAAGATATCTCGTTACTGGGCGCCGAAAGGAAAAACCCTTTCACCAAAACATTACTGTTACTATCAAGCTAAAATAGAGGTTGCTTCGAAATGTTATGTTATTCTGTATAACAACAACAAACACGTCGATTTAAAACCCAAGGCTTAGGCATAAAAAACTCTCTAGAGTCTGCTGAGAACAAAAATCTGTTACGGACGGTGAAAAAATCGACCGAGAGAAAAAAGACACGACTGTATCACAGGGAGTCTTAATACATCTGAGAATTATTTGGCTCAGTTTATAACTAACTCAAATGAAGTTATATTCATAGATTAGCTTATAAGGAACTAATTTGAACGAAATATTGATGAAAATTGTACGAAATGCTAATTAAAAGTACACTAGGAATGTAAGCCCAACTTTCCCAGAACTTGCTAATTTTCCTAAAGGTTCTTAGATAGTTAAATTATTATTGAAGCTTTAGGTTTTAATATTAAATACACACAAGGCTTAAATTAGTTTTGGTAAGTTAAAATAACAACGCGGGACTACTTTACATGGAAGTAAGAAAATAATTCGCAAATGATAAGCGCAGTATTAACTCACAAAAAAACATTGAATAGCTCAATGACTTTATTTCTTATCTGGCATTATGGAAATACATTCTAAAATAGCTTAAAATAAAAGTACTTTTACCATTGTAATTTAGAAATAAAGATACATTTTAAATAATGGTAAATTACTTATTAGGTAATCGTACAAAGTCAAAGTAAAGAACGTTAATTCCAAGTAATACCACACCGGGTTATTTTGAAACTTGAAAATTGAATAAGAGTCCGTCTATACGGGGAGTGTCAGACTCTTACTGGCTAAACACCACGCCGTTTCTTCTCCTGCTCCAGGCTGAGACCGCGATACATTATTGAGGCGCCACACCGGCTGAACACCAGCCTTATTGTGCCCCATCAATAATATTATAAGTAAAAAGGTGTAGATAAGTGTGGGAGAGCCAAGCTTGAGCACGAATGGGTCGGCTCAACCGGAGTGATACCACGGCCTCACAGAACACCGGCGTCAAACAACGCACAGCGTTGTTTCGCCATGTGAGTGAGGTTCCCGGAGGCCAAATCCCGCCCCTTCCCCTATTCCTTCCCGTTCCTTATATCCGCTACCCCTATCCCCAAAAGGCCGGCAATGCACTCGTAACACCTTTGGTGTTGCGGGTGTCCATGGGCGGCGCCGATTGTTACCATCAGGTAATCCGTCTGCTCGTTTGCCGACTTATACCATAAAAAAAGATACGTTACAAGCGCTCAGCAAAGTCAGCAAGTGATACATTCAAATGTGGCTAACTAGCCACGTAACCACACTTTTTTCATATTATGTCTCTTTTTCCCTCGCGATTATTGAATCATGCCATCTCACTTTGACGTCTAAACATACGAATTGTTCATGTGAGTATCATCGTGTCGTTTTTGAAAATCGAATTTTGTTTAGGTATCCTATCTACACCATTTTACTTATTATATCATTGGCCCCCATAGCACCACTTTTCCACCTTCATATAAGGACCCGATGAGAAACTTGTGTGGCCGATAGTTTATACAAATTAGGTTTCAAATTCAAAATCTGGTATAACATAGCGAAAGACATTGGAAACGGGCCCTTAATTCCTATATTACATTGATGTTCCTTTTATTATTTTTATACGCTGGAACCTTTCATTGGTATTATTTAAATAACAAAGCGATTAATAAATGTTCCTATAAGTACCTATAGAAGATGATAATGTTGCCAGTGAATTTTAAATACCTATTATAAGTTTCTAGAAAACTAGGAATTTTTCGCAACGTGACGAAAGTAATTTTGGTATCATCCGTTTACCTCAATGAATAATTAAAATTAATTAAAGTACCAAATTAACGATCACTTTGTAGGTATTAGGTTAGTTGCCAACCAGTCTTATTCTATACTTACCTATTTATGTTCAACGACAATTTATGTTCGACTTAAATTATCTAAAAAATACGAATAAGTATTAATTGTAACATTCATGGGTGATTTTTTTAATATTCAAGTACATAACAGTAATTCTTGTTAACTGATGAAACTACCGAATTGAAATTGTTTACCACTTTACATAACTTCCAGTAGATATATGTATATGTACCTATATAATTATTTTATCTTGCAATCAAATAATGAAGGTGTCTTCCGAGCTAGAATTCCTTGTCCAAAGAAAAAATTTTAATTCTATTTATATTCTATTCTAATTTTTTGTAATTTATTCCTGGATAAAAGTACCTTTTGAAAGACAACATTGTGTACAAAAATACCTAAGGCATTTTTTTCTTTATCACTTTTTTTATGGAATGAGTCGGCAAACGAGCAGACGGATTATGGTACCTAAGCAATCGGCGCATGGACACCCGCAACACCAAAGGAGTTACGAGTCTGTTGCCGGCTTTCTGGGGATAAGGGTTGCGGATGTAAGAATTGGGAAGGGATAGGGGAGGGGGAGGGATTGAGCCTCCTGTCACCTCATTCACACGGCAAACCCAACACTCTGGTTGTTTCACGCCGATATTCTGTGAGGCCGTGGTATCACTCCGGTCGATCCGACCGATTTGTACCGAAGCTTGGCTCTCCCACACTTGAATTTGTAAATTGTATTAAATTAGTGTATTAAATTAGGTATATTAAATTTATTTGTAATTAAATTTATTTTCTACGTAGTTCTCATTGGTTGCTGAAATGCAACTACCTATGTAGTAGAAAATATTATGCCTGCTAGATCATTGTCATAAAACAAAATGTATTTTTTTTTATTCCAGCACATCCAAAAGTCCTGGCCTTTTACTCCCATTGCGGCATGTTAGGAACCACGGAAGCTATTCACTATGGAGTTCCTATAATCGCTATGCCAGTTTTTGGAGATCAACCAAGCAATGCTGCTGCTGTTGAAGAAAGCGGTCTTGGAGTACAAATCCAAATAAAAGAATTAACCAAAGAAACTTTACTGGAGAAACTTAGGATTGTTTTAAATCCTGAGTATGTTGAATCTTTTACACATTATTTTACAAGTTACTAGCTTTTGCCTGCGGTTTTGTGCGCGTGGAGTAGTGACTTCCTGCAGATTTTTGGTTTAAAAACTATCCTATGTCCTCGAGTTCCAAACTAAAAGTGTGTACCAAATTTCACACAAATAGGTTCAGTAGTTTAGACGTGAAGAAAAGACAGACAGACAGACAAAGTTACTTCCTAATTTATAATATTAGTTTGGAAGTTTGAACTAGCGACCCGTCCTTGCTTCGTATGGCTGCAATGGTTATACTAAATTCCTCCACTATTAAGTGGATGTTACTATACATATAAACCTTCCTCTTCAATCACTCTCATCAATTAAAAAATCTGCATCTCAATCCGTTGCGTAGTTTTATAGATATAGAGATAGAGAAAGCGACTATGTTTTATACTATGCAGTGATATAACGAGTCTTATGGAAACCTCTTGTCACACATGTATGTTGTAGGTAGTACTTAAGTCAAAAACCAAGCAAGAAATTCCCTGGTCCAGGACCAGTCGACCAATAAGATAATAAACATATTTAAGTTGAAAGAGACATTACTTCAAATTACTATACAATTTAATATCACAATGGAATTCTAAATAACACGGAATTGTGAAAATATATATACATTATGTACAATTTCATGAATACAATATTAATACGCACCTAGTTAGCGTTGCACTCCTGTGTATTTACCATAATGGCTTAATAATATTTATGTATTTCCATATTTATACTTAAAGAAACTTATGTCATTATATCGTTGCACTTATACATAATTAGCATCCTCTGCTTCCTACACATTATACCTTTAGATGACTGTTTGATTACCAAACAGTTATAATTTAAGTAACACAAGCAATGTCTTCAGATTATTCTTATTTTGAAAAAGAACTATCATAACATTACTTGTATGGCAGTCTACTGGACCACGTTTCGTGCAACCATGTTATTGGCCACACTTTGGTAAAAAGTTTTGTGCAATCTGTCCTCTGACTACGTATTTTAAAATATATAGGTATATAACGGTGATTTTCACAATTTCTGGATAGCCACGATTTACGAATTATATAGGTACAGAATACAGGGCCGGTACGAGCGGTGCGGTCACTGTAAGGGTGCCAAAACGAGCCTTAACGTTAGACAAAAGACGACACTCCGAGCTTTTTATTTAGTAGAGTTCCATTTTTATTTCGCGCCACCCAAAATCTTCATAGAACCGGTACTAATAGAACGTTATTTGTAATTTTTATGAACTATCTGTCACATACTTTTATCAAGTAGGTACTTATGTAAAGGTGGCCAAACAAGCCCTACATACTTATGGTAATTTCCTTCAATGAATATTCGTTAATATCAACTTAAGTAGTAGTACATACATATATACGTACTGCTGAAACAAGGACATAATATCTACTAAAAAAGTTTAATAGCCAACTTCTTTTTTTTAATAGCGATCTTGTTGTTAAACATTGTATTTTGGTGTTTTTTTGCACCGAATAAACGCTTTATCTATCTATCTTTACATATACAAATATTTATTAATTTCAGATTCAGGAAGAGAGCGAAAGAACTGTCGAAAGTTTGGCATGACCGGCCACAATCCCCAATGGACACCGCCATTTATTGGACGGAGTATGCTGCGCGCACTGCCAACTACACCTTCAGAACTCCAGCTAACTCCGTTCCTTTATATCAATATAGAATGTGGGATATTATGGCAGTAATACTCACTATACTATTTATAATCTTCTATTCTATAAAAACAGTAATCTCTTTAGTTCAGAAAAGAAGAGAAGAGCGGTTTTATGAGTTCAAGACTAAGTAATTATTCTTCAGATCTTAATTATTTATTCTTTGTTTATTTGAATGTATGCTTGCCCACTAAGTACAGTCAAACAAGTGAGAGATATACATTAATTCAGTTCGGAGGCAGGAACTAAAAATAATACAAAGTACAAAATAGTTTTTAATGGAAAAAAATATTTTCTATACTCGGAATTTTAATTCCATTCCAGATTTGACAATTTCAGTGTTGCAACGTTATGACACGTAATAAATAGTGACGTTGCGAAATTATTCGATATGGAAATCGAATATTTCTGAATCGATTCCTCTCGTTTATAAATTTACTCTCGTAAACTAAGTTTATCAGGAAATAAAATATTTCTGAACCGATAATTTAGTTTTGACAATTAATTAACGATCTGAGACTTTTCTTTTGTAATTGTGTGTGAAATTAATAAAAAATGTGATCATGAAGGAACGTGACAAATAAAACAGACATTTTATAAATTGTTGCCGTCATCGCTATCGCTATTGCCGTTACTCTATGTAACATTTATTATGAATTGTGTCTTTGATATTTATTGTCAATTAACATATCTAGCTTACTCATTTTTTCCTCTTCTTTGAAAACATGGGATACACATTTAGACCATTCGGTAGCCGTAATTTTTTGAATGCCGTCCTGAAACTGATTCACTGATTGTTTATCGATTTTTGTGTTCATCACTACACTGTTATATGTGGTATCATTATTTCACAAAATGACAGTGGTCAATGTCAAATCAGGAATCGAATTAAAAGTCTGACTATAGACATTTGTCAACTATCCAGCCATTGTGTTGAATTAATCTAACAATTTGTCTTACATGTATGCCAAACAAATTGGCTGACTGTACTTAGTTCATTATGAGAAGTCATGTCATTGTTTTGTGTCGAATAATGTGGGTGAAATTAAAAATATTAATGCGTTGTGCGTAAAAATTTATTTGCTGGTACCCATACATTTCCAGATCCCTCGTAAGTGTGCTAATATTAATGTTATTTCATTAACGACGTTTATAATTTCTCGTAAATTAAAATATTTACCTTATGTAACTGAAGTTAAAAAAAAAACAAAAAATACTATTGACTCTGTTAAACAATACTATAAAACAGCGCCACCTACTGTATGAGAGTAGAACAGATAGAGCCATATCTTGTTCAGGAAACGTCCGAGTAAACTTAAGTAGGTAAGTATGTTTGTGATAGATGGCACTGACGTCAATCTTACAATTTTCGCGGGATTAAAAACAATTAATACTTCATTTTAAATTAGTTCCATAGTAGATAACGTGAAATGCTTGGTAAAATGCACGACGAGAGCAAAAAAATACGAGTGTGGAAACATCGTGTAAAAAATAAGTAATCTATGAATACAGAAAATCAATTCAAGTTGGGTTGTCATTCTCCGTGGTCATTCTTTTGGTGTTGCGGATGTCTGTAATCCGTCAGATCAATTCGTCCACTCTCATGAAAATGAATAAAACCAATTAGGATCAAGATCCCTTCATACCTATCCACTGTAACAAAAAGTTTGAGTACAGTTGTAGATTAATCTCTGATAAAATAATTTTCTATATACCTACTCACCTAAATACATGCGTTATACAACGTAAAATGATAACATTGTAATCAGTTTAAGCGAAACATAAACGTGAGCAATGTAGCAGGTGTTTATTAACCTAAACCAGGAACTAAAATCTCTAAACAGATAAGTACAGTAGATTTCATTACTAAGTACTTAAGTTTTAGCTTAGTCACTTGATCAAAGTGCAGCAGTCAAGCCAATGACTAATCTTCAAGATTTCTACTACCTTCCAGGTAACCTACTGAAAATGTTATTAAAAAAATGCTAATACCTACTAAGAATGAACTTTGTGCGCCTAAAGATATGAAGATACCTGTACACCTACCATGAAGTGTTAGAGCGTGAATCTTCCGCGAGAAAAAAGGTGCTGTTCGCTCGTTCGGCTAGCCTTTATGTCCTTTGGCTCATGATAGATTTAAGTAAACTTTACGGAGATATGTATAAATATAATTAAACTAAACAGTATGATCTCCCTGTTCCATAGAAATCGAATGTTATGTTTGTATGTTAATTTGGAGGGATGAGAGAACAGGAGAAATCCTCATCCTCCATTGAAAAGGGAGTATCCTCCGACCAGGACGTGGACGTGGACGTGTGTTGTGTATCGTGGGCTACTGCCCGATGGTTGCATGTAGACATTTGCTACATGCATTTATACATATAATTGGGTAGTTTCCTAGGTCAAAAATTCGACGTTTCAATAAAATGAAATATTGAAAAATAATTATACTTTTATTCATCGATCGATTGATACACTATCTTTTAGATATTTATTTACTAATTTTTAAGAAATAAGTGAGCTATTTGTCGCTTAAATGCTATGACGTCATAACTTAGCGTTTCATATAAATTTCATAGAAATTTATCGTTTTTGACATTTTGATAAATGAATTGAATTTGTCTAGTTGGAAACTACCGTATTATGTTACAAGCGCAAATGTCACTTGCGCGATGTAGGATTTGTTACGCCATCTGTTGTCGTTACTATGTGCGCGGAGCAGGTCGTGAACCTAATGCAATACGAATAAAGATTAATTGAAAATTCAGACCATATTACTATTTTCTTCTATTCACATTCCAGCCGCCACTGCCGAAATTTAAGTCACTTTATGTAAGTAAGCAAAGTTTTTAAAAATAAAAAAATATATAAATCCGCCCCTAAGGCTACCCACTGACCAAATATTTTTTTCATTATCTAACTGATTAACTAAGTCATGTCAAAATCAAAGGATCTATTGGCTAATGAATACATTTACTTAAAAGGTGTTACAAAATGTCAATAGCTTCAGTAATCAGTCATAGGTCAATGGGTGTATTAAACCCCGTCCGAAAGCATTTCAAATATTTTTTTCGAAAAACCGCAAAATTTGTTTTAAATCCCACCGGTATTCATTTCGAAACCTTGTTTGACAGTCCCACTTGTAATCACTCGACCAACGATGTATCTAATAGAATATTTAAAAAGTCGATGTCATGTTGTACAATTTGTAAAATCATACAAAATTTTATTCCAATATTTATGAATCATCTTACATTCGTACCTTATGTCTGATTTTATAAGTACAACATTACCAAGCTGTTCTGCGAAATGCGTAATAATACGAAGAAAATAAGAAAATAAATAAGTCATCAAATGGTCGCATAATTTTAATCAAAAATATCGAATTTACTTGATAAACTCGTTAACCCAATGATGGTTTAGGTAATTTTAAAGTAGCACAAATTATGTTAAGTCATGTTGAAACGCAACTCAAGTGTTTATGTGCTATACGTTATAAGTTTTATATAGTGACATATCATCGTTGTAATACTTACAATCCTAGTGATGTGATTCAGTGTCAGTGTGTTGCCGGAGGCCACAGAGTCGACACCGACCGGCGCCATATTTTGCCCACTATTCGAGACACGCGCCGCTCGCGGCCTTCAAATACTCTATAATGAAGCCCAGTGTATTAATTTCTATATTGTCATTACTAGTGCTAACAGATTACGCGTGTAGTCTCAATATCCTTGGAATATTTCCATACCAAGGCAAAAGTCACTTTATCGTTTTTCGTGTTTATTTACGTGAACTCGCGAAGAGAGGTCATAATGTGACCGTTATTTCTCATTTTCCTGAACAAGATCCACCTGCGAACTATCATGATATAAGTTTAGCTGGAAGTACAAAGCCCATAGAAGACGAAGGTCCCTTCCAGACTTCATATCTCATTCTGTTGGCTGTTAGCTGGTTCCTTGCTCATAGCGGTGTTCAAAACTGTGACACAATGTTGGCAAACGATCGAGTGCAAAGTTTGATCAAAGAAAAACCGAAGTTCGACGTGATTGTCGTGGAGCAGTTCAATAGTGATTGTGCTCTTGGTGTCGCCCACAAGTTCGACGCTCCGGTTGTTGGTATAATGTCGCATATACTTATGCCCTATCACTATCAAAGACTGGGTATCCCTTACAACCCAGCTTATGTTCCATTCCATTTCCTGGAAGGTGGAACTAAACCTACCCTATATCAAAGAGTAGAAAGAACCATATTCGACTTTTACTTCAGAACACTATATAAATATTATACTCAAAGAAGTAATCAAAACAGTCTTGCAAAATATTTCGACGACATTCCGCCCTTAGATGATTTGGCTCGAGACATGAAGTTTCTCCTTCTGTACCATAACTTTGTACTCACTGGATCAAGGTTATTCCCTTCTAATGTAATTGAAGTTGGAGGTTTCCATGTTATCGACGCAAAACCTTTAACTGGTGTAAGTATTCGTACCATTCTATTACCTATTATTATAGTAACATTATATACATTATTTTTTTGTTTTGCTTTACCTGTTCCTAATTTGTTGCTCCAACGAACAAAATACTCAACCACACAAAAAATCAAACTGGTTTTATGTTGAATCATTCCATATCGCTACTTGCCTTTGCCATAATTCGAATTTGATTAGATCTGTTAAACAAGCTACAATCAACACAAGCAACAATATTTTGATAAACAATCTGATAGTGTATGTACCGTAAATAATACGAAAAAATCTCAAAAAATACTCTCACGAGGCATTTTAATAAAAAAATATAAGTATTTCAAAGGAGCAATAATAAAAAAACAACTAAGATGCGAAACAAATAAAGTTGATTTTTGTGCACTTGACCACCATGGTAATAGCAGTCTTTCAATTGGCTTCACTTTAATTATGTTAGTTCGCTTTTGCTTCCAGGATCTCAAAAAATTTGTCGATGAAGCTGAGCATGGCGTGATCTACATTAGTTTTGGGTCAGTTGTGAAAGCCACTACGATGCCCGCAGACAAAGTGCAGGATGTACTGAATGTAATGAAGCAACTACCACAACGATTTATTTGGAAATGGGAAGACAAGACTTTACTGGTGGACAAAAATAAACTGTACACTAAAAATTGGCTTCCTCAAGTTGATATTCTAGGTAAGGCTAGTTGAATGAATCCATGATAGTGAATAATCATAGTAATGAAACAACATTATCACCAATTATGTCAATTGTGTCACCGAAATCAAATGTGGGCGAGACTTGAGTGCCATATTGATAGCATGATAACGAAACTATAGCATTATATAATCACAGTTTACTATTTGTCTTTTATGTTTCATAAATAAAATCGTTGTTTTACTAAAACAGACTGGAAATGAAATGAAATAACTGAGTATTTTTATAAGTTATACACTTTAAACAATTTCAGCTCATCCGAAAACGTTAGCGTTTTTGTCTCATGCTGGCAATGGTGGTACCACGGAAGCTATACACTATGGAGTACCAATGGTAGCCATGCCAATAGTTGGAGATCAACCTGCAAATGCCGCAGCTGTAGAAGAAAGTGGACTTGGAGTAACGTTACAAGTTAGAGACTTGAATCAAGAAAACCTGTTGAATGCTTTCAAAAAAGTGTTGGATCCCAAGTGAGTACCGTTTTTTTTATTTCAAGATGTATAAGTTACGAGGAGAAATGCGCAGGTGCTTGTATCACAAGAATTAGACGAGGAGGAATGCGCATCTGAACACTACTTCTAAATTAGGAAGTTACTGAAAAAAAGATTTGTTTGGTTGCACTTATTTTCAAGTGAGTTACTCGTACATATGTTGACTGTGGATTTGCGCGTAAAGTATTAGGAAAATAAAGAAAATTCTATGTACAGTCAGGGGTCAAAAATGCAATTACACTCTACCAATTTTAAAATGACTAAAATTTCTTTGTAGTAAAAGTTCAATTGTTCACAGCCAGTTATTAATTAACCCAATAATTTAGATTCTATGCTATAAATTAAAGTAGTACCATTGACTCTATTCTACAAAGATATTTTGGTCATTTTAAAATTGGTAGAGTGCAATTGTATTTTTGACCCCTGACTGTACATATTGAAACGAACCTAAACACAATCTATATATCATGATATGAACAATTCATTTCATGCTTAAGTGTTTATAAGAGTTCAGTTGAATCGTCGACTTTTGACCAATTGTAATATGTAGTACTATATGTTGGGTGTCAACCCTGACACAATAGGTTTGGTTAGAACTGTGACTCTAAACAGAATGCCTGGGCTACATCATTAGGCCACTCAAGTCAAAATTCGCACCACAGCATATCACCACGACTTAAATATCCTCTACCGGTAATAAACGTTACTTTGTTACCATAATTATGATTAACAAATAATCACTCAAATTATCTGGAAGAAATCACCTTGTGTGATAAGACCGCCCATTGTAATCACAACATTCGGTCATAGTATCCAATGTATTGCTACTTGGTGTATGTGTGCAATAAAGTATATATAAATAAATGGTTTTGAAACGCTAATGTACCCAATAGACAGTCAACGATTTCCTGTAATGTGCCCATTGAGTTAAACTACGATGTGGCCACGACATAAACAAGACAATTCTATCAAATCATTAATTAACCTTAAATCGTGGATATTCGATACACAATAGAATAACAATAGGTACGCGAACGCCGGCGTTTCCTTTGATTTAAATCGATTAATTAAAGACAATAATACCCAATTCAAAACGGGAAGACGTCAATGTCCTATCGATTTTTATTTGTAAAATATAATAGATGTTATCTCATGACGTTGCTATCAATAAAGGCACTGTAGGCCTTACAGAGATTTTTTACTCAGGACAAGAAGGTTAATAATAAACTATTTAACTAAGTGCCACAGTTCCTTGACTTTAACATTATGATCTGACGAATGAATAATTTACATTATCATCATATGCGCATATTGCATCATATCCATGATGTTACAATAATTGATCAATGGTCAAATCATTGGGTTGAATTAGTTAAACTGTTACGCCAACTCACAACTGCTCGGTTGACGCGGTGGCTGGGCAATTGGCTGACGCGCAACGTGTCGCGGGTTCGATTCCCGCACGAAACAACTCTTTGTGTGATCCACAGATTGTTGCTCCGGGTCGGGGTGTGATGTGCATGTGAAATAGTAAGTTTATAAACGCACCCACGACACAGGAGGAAAACCTAGAGTGGGGCAACGTTTTATTAAAAAAAAAACTTCATATAACTAAGATTAATGTTTTGTGATATTAATAATACGCTTCCTAAATATAGGTCACCCTTTGTATGGTACAGTGCAACACTAACTGATATCTTTAGTTCCTCCTTTATCTAAGTCTGGCCACCGTTTGGGACTTCTACCTCTACATATTTTTTTTCCTAAATTGCCTCTTGATATTTTTTCTGTGACTATCAGGCGTTTTAAATTACCAAGTATATCTGGGCGCAATGTTAATACGTGAGTTTTCTTCACCTTTCATTTACTGAAAGATAGATAGATACATGTGTGCGGAAAACAGTCGATCTGTCTACAGTATGCGACGCCAAAACCACACCCCAAAGGTGTCTATTCGGGGCCCATCGGCAGCTTTTCGAGTTCACATTACTGCACCATATACAACGCTGAATAAGACGGGAACTCTTACCACGTATATTTTGTTTCTATTTATTATTATTTTACTTTTATATTATTACGTTATTTGAAGTTATTTTTACGTTTATATTATTATTTTACTAGCAGACCCAGCCACGCGTTACTGTGGCTAAGGTAAATAGTATTGTAGCTATAAATTGAGATGTAAGCTATCCTATCTTTCAAATTGCATCAAAATGCACACGGTTCAAAATCGGTTAAGTAGTTTAGGAGTCCATCGCGGACAAACACGTGACACGAAATTTTCATATATAAAGAATACATCGATATTTTCAGACTTTGCTTACTTAACTGGGCCATTGTTGTTTTGTTATGACAATATGCCTGTGAATTTAAGGTTCACTGCTTCCCTTATTTCTTATTAAAGAACCAAGATGTTGAAATTGCTTTTTTTCTGTGTTGAATAGTAATAAGCCTGCCAACGATCATGAGCTTGGTAATTTGTATGTTCCATTTCTAGACTAACTCTTTGAAAAACCGACACAACATCCATATTACCAAAAAAAACTACGAACTGTAAAAAATACTTTCCTGTTTACCATTTTATTTTAAACTAGCTACTCTCGCGCTGTTTCACCCGCTTCTCAGCTCCATTTAAACAAAGCATGATGTTTTATAGCCTATGGCACTAAGGAAAATTTTAGCTATCTATCAGTGAAAGCATTTTGGCAATACGACCAGCGGTTCAAAACATTACCCCCTACATACAAACTTATTATTTACTTCTTTATAATATTATAGTATAGAAGTATGGATGTGGCCCTACTTACATCTCCACTTATCGTTGTTAAATTGAGAAATACAAACAAATCATACCTAGACTAGAAATTTTGAAACCCTTTTTCCTAGATAACAAGTTCCGCCAACTGGTATCTCAGTCCGTATAATTTCGAAATTATTATGTATCTCATAAAATAATAAAGACAACATTTATCTCTGTTTCAGATTCAGGGAGAGAGTGAAAGAAGTGTCCAAGGCGTGGCATGATCGGCCAATCTCGCCAATGGATACCGCTGTGTATTGGACGGAATTTGCAGCCAAGCATCCCAATTTCACATTCAGAACAGCAGCTGCAGACGTTCCATTTTACCAGTACATTAACCTAGACGTAGCTGCTGTGCTCATCACGATATTTATTTTGAATATTGTAGCATTGAGAATAGTTATAAATAAATGTAGATCCAACAAAAAAGTTACTACAAAGACTGAAAAGAAAAAGGCGAAGCGTGCATAGTCGCGAGAGATTCAAATTAAGTATTAGATTAAGCGTATCAAATTATAAATAGCACTAACAAAAAGCTGGCAACTTATCATTAATTTGAAATCAAGATACCGATCGCAAAAATGCCAATACTCAACTTAGGGTACGATTCTAAAATACATTAAAATCACGGTTCCAGTGAAAAAAACATATTTGTATTGTGTATTTATTAATTATTCACATAATCTGAGTAATTTCAACAAATGTTATTAAAAAAATCTTTTGTTAAATCTTTTCTTTTTTATTAAATTTAATCCCTAAGGTGCAATCCTCCAAAAATTGCTGTCATTCTAATTAATTATTATTGTTATTCTTAACCTAAATAAAATAGATTTAGTTCTTAATTATCCTAATCTATCTTTTTCCATTTTAGTTTATGTTTTCCAAAGAGAATTTTTAAGACTAGTGACGAGATTTTGACTAAGATGTAGAATATTATTGCAACTGATGATGCTATTATGAATGCTACATCGATCATTAAGTACTGATACAGTGGCATGTCCACCGTCGGTGGCTTCAAGTTGACCGCTCCCTTATTTCTGGCCACGTACTCAATCCAGAAGATGGCAGTGTCCATTGGAGATAGTGGCCTGTCTTTCCAGAGTTGTGATAGTTCCTTTGCTTTCTTCTGGTATCTGGAAATTTAATAAATAATATTTTAGGTATGATGGAAATATTGCTTGTAGAGTTATACTAAAATAGTTTAGTTATTGTGAATAGGTTAACTATGGGTAGGCGTACTCTATTATTGTTCGCATCATAGCTTACCACCAAGCGAGGTAGTGGCAAAATTCATAAAATAATGATACTTAATATACTTATATAAAAGCTGATTTTATGCAATCAACTTGTGTTCTGACTTTCAGAAATATTTCAAATTAAAATTAGCCAAATCGGCTCGGCTGTTTTTATTTGTATATATATGTAAAAAAAACGAATACGCCTAAAACTACTGCAGCTCTCCGCTCGTCTGAAGTCTAATTTAAATTGGATCTAAGTGTGATAAGCTCTTAGGTATAGGTAAGATGTTCACCACGACCGAACAAGGACCAGCACAATACCATATCATGCAATCTGAGAAGCAGTCAGCTTATATTTAGAGTTTTTTTCTATGATTCTAGACTTAGGGTCTTGTAATAGTTTTCTTTTATAATTTCTAGTATGTAGCACATTTTTTCAGAAAATCATCAAATAACTCCTCTTGCCGTGCTGAACTATCCAACCAAGATACTTCTAAAATTACAATAAAAAGCTTCTTAGGTAACTTACTGTTCTTTGAGGATAGTTTGTAAAGCATCTTCCAGAACGTGTGCATTCAAAGTCAATACATCTAATGAAACTCCCAAACCACTCTCGACAGCAGACTTTCCATTCGCAAATTGTTCTCCAAACAGAGGTACAGAAATTATAGGTACACCACAGTGCATAGCTTCTGATGTACTCAGCATTCCAGAATGTGATATAAAACCGACCACTTTTGGATGACCTGGAAGTATAATTGACCAACCATAAACATCACGAATGATTTTTTCGTAAATACAAATAGATACGCTCACAGTAGCCAATGTACTTGTCACATAATAAATTAGGTACATTACATTACACACAAAAATTTACTCCCATTTAAATTTACATGACGACCATGATAAAATGTTTTTTTTTTGTTCGTGACTTCATCGGAGCTTATCTTTATAAGCTCCATTTTTTTATAAATCGATGATAATACTCATGTCTTCGATACATATAAGTGGATGTAAAAAATGTTTGTTCCTACCACGCGTATTTGCAATGACAATATCTTTTCAATTCAATCATCATTATCAGCCTATAGTGCTTACTGCCGAGCAAAGGCCTCTTCTCACACGAAGAAGGTTTGAGCATTTATCACCACGCTTGCTCACGGCGGATTGGGGAGTTCAATCTTATAATTATAAATTATAAGTCTAGGTTTCCTCGCGATGTTTTCCTTCGCCGTATGTTAGTGGTGTCTAAATAATCATAGAAAGTACATATAACTCTGTAAAAATCACTTGCCAGGTTTCTAACCTGCGTCTTTCGCTCCGGGCCACGACGCTTTTATGTATTATAAGTACACTGGTTTCCAGTAATTCACAAAGGCGATCTTAGCAACATCGGCCTTATCTCTCCGTTGGATACGTAAGTAAAATTCTACACATTATCTGGCCTACAAATCTACACCCGGACTGTGATTATTAATACTCAATACTCAATACTCAATACTTTATTGCTTTCCACATGTATTCTTAGGTGGTAGTACTTATAAATAGTTCATATGGACCCTGTCGGGCACAGCAAAGTAAGTGGGATAGGAGAGAGGAAGCTCTTATCGGCTATTTTACTTATTTTTGTTGACTAAGACTAAGGTTATATAGGCAAGTAAGTTATATATATTTATGTTTGAATTTTTTTTTTTTTTATTATGAATCACTTTATCTACACTGTAAGTGTGTGTGGTGTGTGTGTGTGTGTGTGTGTGTGTGTGTGTGTGTGTGTGTGTGTGTGTGTGTGTGTGTGTGTGTGTGTGTGTGTGTGTGTGTGTGTGTGTGTGTGTGTGTGTGTGTGTGTGTGTGTGTGTGTATTGCGTGTGACTGTTTATGTCTATATATTTTTATCATTTAGGTATTCGTTAATGGAATAGTAGCATTTATTTATAAGAAATTGTCTAAGTTTTTTTAAAAATATATTAATTTTATCTTCTCTTTTTATCTGTGCGGGTAGTTTATTGTACAATTTAATAGACATAACGTAGGGACTTGTCGAGTGCATTTTTAAACTAGACTTAGGTATATTTAGTTTAGCGCGGGGTCTGAGTTCATAGCGTGATTGGTTGTCGTCTCGTTGAGTGTACAGCTCTTGGTGTTTACGGACAAATTTGCATGATTCTAGTATATATATACAGGGGAGAGTTAAGATGTTGTGTTTTAGGAAGAATGGCTTGCAACTGTCTGTTTGCTCTATGTTTACGAGGAGTCTTATCAGTTTCTTTTGCAGAGTAAAGAGTGTTATTGCATCTGTACTGTTGCCCCAGAGGGTGACACCATAGCTAAGCCACGCATATGCGTAAGCATAGTAGGTGGTTAGTGCTGTTTCGAAGCTAGTGGTCTTTTTTATTTCACGAAGAGCGTACGAGAATTTTGAAATTTTTGAGTGTGTTTTTTGTATGTGTGGTTTCCAGTTGATGTGTGTGTCTATAACTAATCCGAGTAGGGTAAATTCTTTAACGATTTCCAATTTTGAGTTATTGAAGGTAAAGTCTAGGGTTAAGGGTGTTTTTTGGTAAGGGTAGAAAGTTATTAAGTTAGTTTTGGGGTAGTTTATTTCGAGATTGTGGTCATTCATCCAGTTGCATGTTTTGGTAAGTATAGAGTTGAGAGTTTCATCAATATTTTCGTTGTTTTTGTGTATTAACAGAGCAGCAACTTGTACCTTATGGTACATCAACATGACTTGGTTATAGGTAAGCTCAATGAGCGTCAAATATGTATTTGTACATGTTTCATTTGTTTGAGAAATTATTTAAAACTACTGTAACATACCAGACAAAATATACAGACATGCGAATTCCGTATTCGAATGACAATTTTATCTTAATTGCGGGAACGATTTTTTTTTACTTCTTATAAATAAATATATAATCTGTTTTATCAACATGTGCCGGAGACACGAGTATCACTAATTGTTATCGATGTATAAAAAAAACGAACTTATCGGTAGAATCATAGTCATGAACACAATTGTCTTAAATGTCACTTGTCCACGTAAGTGACCAGAATTTTTTAATCCCTGATTATTTAAATTGATATTTTTTATTAGAAACTCACATAGAACAGCAGCTTGTGGCATCCATTTTCCAAGAAACACGTTGCTAGGAGGATCCCATTCGGTTACATCTGACTTCCAGATAAATCGCATATTGCTCTTCTCGACGAATTTTATAATTTCATTAATTATTTTACGAGGAAAATTTGATGCGACACTCCCAAAACTGATGTAAATCACGCCATTGCTGGCGCTATCCAAAAAGTTGACAAGGCTCTGTAAATTAAAGAATTTGGATTTTTATTATCATCAAATTCTAGTTTGGGTTCTTATTTAAACAATTACACATCCGCAGGCACAGTAATCAAAACATTATTCTTTATATATCTCAATTTAATTAGATTCAGTGACCTTTGTGATTTAATTGTCGTGAAATATGAAGTGACTCAAAATTTCTATATCATTCTCGCAGAATATTAAGAAAGTCAGGCGCATTCAATACAATATTTTTAAACTTAGGAATTTATAAATCCTAATAACAAACAAATCTTTAAGGCCTGGTGATAAACAGAGAAGAGCTTAAGTGTGTCCTAGCCTTTAAAACTATAAATATATGCAATGAGTCATATCTCATGCAACGAAGAAGGTCCGAGTACTCTTTTAATAATATTGTCTCCAAAGAGGTTTTGATCATGACTAAAACCCGGATATGCATTTATCACAGGCACAGTGCATACTTTACATTCTCTTCCGTAACAATGGCAAACCGACACCACTAAAAAAGCACAGACGCGTGGGTCAAGGAATTTTAATGTTTTGCGAGGATCAAGGTAAACATCGCCATCTTACTCGAATTTCAAACTACTTAGTGATAAATCTTAGGATGCAAATCCTTAAAAATAAAACCCTATCACGATTCTCGAACACGATACACAACAAACAATCAATCACTTAGTCAGTATATCACTTATGACGACTATTCTGTATAATATCGACTTTAATACAAAACAAAAAGATATGCCTGTGTACCTACCCGTTGTGCTTTAAGTTTAAACAAATAAATAGGTATGTTACGCACCTGATCTTCTATCGGATAACTGGGATTAATGTGCATTCCACCAACTTCAACAACGTTAGAACTATACAAACGAGGACTAGTTAAAGTAAAATACTGATTTATCATTATTAAGGACATATTCTTCCCTAGATCTTCCAACAGTGGCGTATCGGGATACACTGCATTCACAATCTCTTGGTCACTCCTCTGTATAACATGAGTATAGTACATATTCATCCCGAAGTTTATTAGAACACTTTTTATTCTATTAAATAAATCCGGTTTCGTCCCAGATCCAAAGAAGTGGTTGGGCACATAAGCCGGGTTGTTAGGTGCACCCAATCTTGAGTAAGTCCATGGGCTCAAAATATGAGCAGCTATTCCGATAGCCGGCGCATCCAACTTGTATGCAACAGCCAATCCGCAATCTGTCACAAACTGCTCAACTATAACTAAATCGAAATGTGCTCGTGTCCGTATTAGCTCCTGCACTTCTCGATTATTCATCAGCTTTTGACAATTTGTATTCGCAATATTCTTGAACACCTGAGCAGTCGCATACGCCAAGGAAAAGTCAGATACCGAAAGAACTTCCATGCGTTTCTCTATATCTACACAAGCACTTGCATTTTCTCTATCCTGTAGAGATATTTGCCGAAGGAAAGGTTGTTTTTGCACAGGGTGGTAGTTAATCACTGTCACATTATGTTGCCTTATTGCCAATTCTTCGACTAGCGGCGTGAAATAAATATGATGACTTCGCGCACTATGAGGAAATATTGCTAATATTTCATAACCACTAATGTATTCGCACGTTACAACAAAGTTCAAAAAAATAACTATATGAATTTTCATTTTTTAAATTACGCTAACTCGCTTTGAGAAACTAAACAATTATAATCTAAACCAGCAAAGGATTTTACAAGAAATTTTGGCGGTCAATAGGTTAATGTTCATAGCCAGCTATTAACATTAACATTAACATATTTTACCAAAATTATTGCTTAATGTTTTCAGTTATCAATTGTAGCCAAGAGTGACAGCCAGCGTTGTAGACAGGTTCCGTAATCGGTTTTGAGGTACCTACTAGATAAAACTGACGACGAAATTTTTTTTCGATGACAATGATCGTCTTTTTGCATTCATGTATTTAGATAGCTATTGTCTGTCAACTTCTATTGTATTTTTTATCTTAAGTTATAAAAAAACCAGTATACTACACTCAGACTATTCTAGCCCCAGCCATCTTATCTCTTATCTTATCTTTATTTTTAATCTACCAATAATACCAGTAACACAAAGATTAGGAAGTGCCCTGCTAAGATGACACAACCCATCGTTATTGCTTTAACATGTTTTTTTTTTATTTTGTTTAATTATTAGCTTAAGGTACATGCGGGTATTAAAGCCTGTCGGGTAATAAGGCCTAAACATTACAAATCTTGCTTAGAATACGATTTTACGCTCAATCTCACGCACATACATGTATGTTACACGTACAAGGCGCCACCATGCGGCAAGTGTTGGCTATCTCACTCGCTCTTGCTAATGGCGTGATAAACGTTGTCAAAAGTAGCCGCACGACACGTTTTTACAAATATTAGCTCCGGTAAAACATAAATATTTCTTAAAATATTATACTTATCTCCTTGCACTTACTGTGTGTATTATCGTTAACTTATGCTCGTCCCACATTGCCTTATTCATTAACGTTCTACAGTCCAAATTGTATTTATTTCGTTTTCCATAAATACCTAACCTATGGGCAATAAGGCCTATAAAATTTTATAGTAGGCCTTATTATACTTATAGATATATATTCCTTAATGTTTGCATTATTTTCAAATTATTTCAATAGGTATATCATACATTATTCACAGTTCCTACGTTCACGATGCTTCCTAAGCGAGCATTGTGGTCAGAAGATGACTAATCTATGGCATTTCCTCCGAAGACATCGTCTTCCACTTGCACGACTAGAGAAAGAAAAAGAACAATAATATCTGGGTTTCATGATCTCATAAGACTATTAATTTTCGGGGTACTCCAAAGATCGTTTTGATAAATTTAATGAAGGTAAGAAAAGCAATGCCGAGATTAAAAATACAATTCAAAGGAAGAAGAAAACCAATCTATAATCGATCTAGGAAATTCTAACCTTCAAACACCTTTAAGACCAATTAAAACAAAGTCTTCTCGCGGATCTGATCGAACCAAGGACACCACATGCCTGTGAAGAAAACATACGGTTTTCTTCATAACACCTAAGTTTTCTTCACATACACAGTACACAGTATGGATGACATGAGACAGTGCTCTCAATGCCCAAGTGGTATCATGAGGAGTGTGTTAGTTTATCAGTGGATGATTATGATGACTTCGTATGCCCTGGTGGATGTTAGATGAGGCTACGCATTTAATTCTAAAGTATTATTCTGCCATTGACTGGATGATGATTGATATCAAATGCCAAATTATGTTGTTTTAGTTGATTAATTGCATAGTTAAAGAAGCAGGCCTTGTTACCCTACCGAATTATAATAAGGCCTATTAAGAGCGTTTAAAAAAATGTTAAATATTGTTTAAGTTTCACGCAGAAGCTGCAATTTTTTTGTTTTAATTTTGTAGATGCCTAAATAAACGACTGATTACCGAATAAAACTTGTTGATTCTATTATCAGTTTTGATTTTACAACAAATTTCCCTTAGCTGGGCCTTAATACCCTCATGTACCTTAGTTATATAAGTCTCAAAAACCTTTCATTTTCAATGTCATGCACACCTGTAATTTGTACAATTGCTTGTGCATCCAATTATTTGATTATTGTGTTTTTTGTATAACATTGGGTGATTGTATTGTTGGTGTGCTTATTTTTAAATAAATAAATAAATAAATAAATAAACTATGTAATACAGAATTACGCGGCTGATGGAAGCTTTAAAATTAATAATCAAAACATGCCATTTGATGAACATTTTTTTTATGTAAATGAAATGCTTCTCTTTACACGCATTTTGAAAGCAGAACTCTAATTTTTTTATCTCAATTAAAAAAAGATAATAGACAATACTTATTAATTTTGGAGATAGGCACCTACCGATTATAGTACGAGATCCCGCTGCGGGATTGGTGCGCTCATCGACTTTTTGTTCAAAACCAGATTTTTATGTTTATTTATAATTGATAGAATATATATTTACTAGGGTGCCTATCAAAATTTGGCCGCCATTATTTTTAATAGATTTTTGTGTTTTTAATGCAGTAATTCATTGTTATAAAAATAAGAAATTAAAACAAATATTAACAAAAAGAACCTCAAAGTTAGAACTGTCATCTATATTGAAGTCGTAAACCTATATTATTCTTAAATTCAATTCAACTTTTACTTACGGTTTGTGTTTTGCAAAAATCTTCAAATTCTTGTTTACTTTTTGCTTCAAAACCACAATTTTTTTTAGACACTCTTAGTGATATCCAAAATCATTCGTAGAGTCAATTGTAAATAAAAGGTCATGATATTTACATTCTTTTTTGCGACGAAACAATAACATTAGTGAGCACTTTTGAAATGATACATTATTAAAGTTGAGTACATTGCTTTTTTCGTTACACAAAAAACACGACTTCATTATTATCAATTTTATTTTACGTTAATTAATAAAATAATTTTTAGATGCACAAATAAAATAACAATGTAAATATAAAACGTTGTTTTTACGAACTCCAAAACAGCGTGGTTTTTATGTTAGAATAAAAATGCTGCACCTGTTCAGTTGAGAACACTAACGTTCGACGCATGCGCAATGGCTTAAATGCGTCGCACAGCCGGCAATCGCTGTCCTCGTCTGACAAATGATGTTACGCGCTAACTCTCTTTCACTCTACCTTGAAAATTTATTATCTTTAACAACCAGTAACCCTTATTTGCGGCCAGATTTAATTAAGCAACTTTATATGATAATTAATAGAAAAAAATAGCTTCAATTTGACATATAATTAATGAAAATAGGTTATAAACGTATAAATTTATCGAAATCATACCTGTTTACACCTGGCTGCAAAGAGGTGCGGCCAGGTGCGCAACGGCAACCGTGATTTTTTAGAATCTTCATATTAATTATCGTGATATAGACGTTATTTTATTTAAAAAATAAATAAACGATTTTTTTACCAAAAATCTATTAAAAATAATGGCGGCCAAATTTTAATAGGCAACCTAGTAAAATATATTCTATCAATTATAAATAAACATAAATATTTGGTTTTAAACAAAAAATCGATGAGCGCACGCAGCACGCAGCGCGGATCTTAGACTATTAGACACTAGCGTATCGCGTGCTTTTGTTCATTTTGGCGAGTAAAATCTTCGTGGTAGTTTATCAAAAGGTGAATAACCGAGAGCCGATGACCTATTAGGACCATCCGTGATACGCATACCTACTGATTCAGCCGTGAATGACGAATGAATATTGTTGGGTCGCTTAATTGAAAATAACGCTTATCGCGTACCTAGGTCGACACCACGGGTAATTAACGGCGTGTGCCACTGTCCATTAAAATATCGATTAGTGAAGACACTACTGGTTCTCATTAGTGTAACTAGTGAGTAGGTAATAACTTTATTTGGAATGTGTGGATTGTCTACGCATACACGTTCACGAAGGTACCTACGTAGTGATTTTTGATAAAGTATCTACTTACATTTACTATTGGTGACCACGCGATGATCGTTTGTTGTGATTATTTTATTAACTGTGATAAAATATAGTTTAGTGTTTCATATTACCTACAATAGATTTTAGCACGTTGACGTTTGTCTAAAATAAGTTGATCATGTACAGAAATACCTAGTTACCTTAAGTTATTTTTAATTATATTGCAGGGGTAAGAGGCCTCTTTGAGCAGTGATGGGCCTTAGCTGAGGTCATAGTGCGGATCGAGAGGACCTGAGAACTCGCAAACTGTTTCTGTGTAGCAGTAATACTCGCCAAGGAGGCAGAGTGCGTGAGGAAACTATCCTCCTAACGCCCCAGCTGCCGCTATAGGCGACATTCCGGACGTCGGGGATCGAGCGACGATCTTCGGCCATCGTAACCGCGTATCTAGGTTGTTCGACCAGAATTTGCTGCGCGTAATGTTCCGCACGCGCCTTAAAGGGCCTATAGACCACCACAGCCTCAGCCTGGGGCAGAAAAAGGAACGAGGGTTTTAGTCAGTAAAAGTCTGACACACCTACTCATACTCATACCATACCCTGGGCGAGAGAAGTGATTTGATGATTTTCCGTCCTCAAACAAAAGGTCGCCTATTTCCCAGTAGGCACAGACATAAATCACATTTTCATAGGTCAAAGATTTTAGCTACCTATTAGCTACCTCCTCGGGCCATATTGTTTTATTTTTAATACTTTTTTTTATACTGTTTAATAAATATTTTATCAGCTTACTCACGTCAAGATAACTCAAAACATTTACATGTCTTAACATATTTTGCCGATAAACGTATTTAATTAATTTAAGTAATATAATGTACTAGCTACTCTCACGCGGTTTCACCCGCTGCTCGGCTCCATTTGATTGTAGCGTCATGTTTTATAGCCTATAGCACTCAGGAACATTGTAGAAACCTATCAGTGAAAGGTTTTAGGCAATCCGACCAGCGCCAGCGCTTCCTAAGATTACCCCTACATTCAAACTTACAAATTTTACCGCTTTTTAATATTAGTAGGTATAAGTAGATTCTTTTTATTCAACATATAAATATATAAATTACATTTTTAAATATTTCTGAAAAATAAATTATAAAAAACATTTAAAAATATAAAAAATTGTGTCCCACCGGTATCGGGAACAGGGTCCAAGCTACCGGTGGTCAGGGTTCCAGAGAAAGGAACCTCCTGACAATACGAGCCGTG